AGATGCCGTCAGCAAAACCCAACTGGCCCTCCCTGCCACCCGGCCCTCCATCTTGGGGCCAGCCTTCACTGTCACGCACCCACCTGCATTATCGCCCTTAATATCTATGCATTTACTTGTACTGTGTAGATAGCACATGCGGTCCGTATAGATGAAGACCCTGGCTGCGTTTCTTCGAGAAGCATCTGTACCCCATATTTGCAATCTACTCGGCCGGTTCGCTAGGCAGTCCAACCACCAAGCCTCCTGTCCCCACACTGCTTCGCAATCTATCTCACCTTCCAAAGTGCGGCCTATTGCCGGAAGATTTGCGCTACCCTAGTACGGACCCTTTGCTCGTCCAAGTAGGTACGAGTAGCAGCATGCAATGCACCCCTCGTCCCTACCTACTCTATCGCTGCAGGAGACTGAAGCTGTCACATGAGACCCGTTGCCATCGGACCCCTCTTGAAGCAAAACGTCCCCTTCTGCCGGAATCCGGGGGGCATGGTGGCTTCCTTGGTGCCTTTTTGGCCCATGTGAGACGAGCGGCTCTCCGGCTCCGGTCAGGGCGCTGCCCACCAACCAGCAACCTTCCTAGCTAATGTACCCTTGACATGTGCTTCTCATTCAACCGCCGGCACTGTCTTTGAATCCGAAATTGCTGCTGCACTCGCCGTGATCCCATGGTCCTGTCGCCACCACATATTCCACTGCTTGTGCTCAAATCCCATATATTGTCTATCGGAGGCGTGCACATCCTTGGCTTTAGCGTCCTATGGGGCGTTTCTTGTCATGAACCGTCGCACTGTGCTCCACCCCTCGACTCGTCACCGTTTCAGGCACCGGAATTCGGACCTATCGCATCTTCAGAAATGGCGCTGCCTCGAGCCTACTCTTCGACATGGCTCCGACGATCGCCCCGAAATTATCCACATGATACCGTCGATAAATGGACGAAATAAACCGCAACAATAGTCATAATTCTACCGCCTATTCTATGCCGCCGTCTGTCTAGGTGTAATTATCGTATCGGAAAAAAAATTCATCGCACTATAATGATGACTGACCTGATCGCCAATGATTACCGCCGAATCCTAACGCTAATTATAAGCACTCGATAATGCCGATGTCCTGATGTGTAGATGCAAATAGAACTTCCCGTGTTGAATTGACAAAGTCTACAAGATTATTGCTGCCTACACAGCCAATATCTCAACAAGTCAGCTATGAAATGTTTCTGCACGGCACCTTCCACTGTGGAGCTATCCAGCCGTAAATGCGCTCTTGTCATGAAAGCGTCAGCATTCACACATGCAACCATTGACCAGCATCCCAAGAACAGCCAGCCCCCTACAGCCCTCTCGCCTAACAAAGCGCTCGACGTACCAGAACCACACACAAACGACGATCCATCGGCACTCCTCCTTGAAACAGAGGATCTCTTACAGGTATCGCGAGAACCCCAACAGCAAACAGTTCTGTTGTAGATCCAAAAGTCTAAACCCTTTCACCCCAGTCACTTGCTCCGAGCCCAGTTAAGCCCGGACTGATGTGATATTACTGCAGACCCCACTTCCTTGTCCTTGCTTAGACCATGCGTTCTCACCTGTGTTAATGCAAAACAGCCCAAGAGAAAGAGAAAGAGCGGTATAGTAGCATCTTGTTAGCGCGAGCATGACTGTCGCGTTACTTACTTTGTGCTGTAGTCAGGCATTTTTTCTATGCAACTATACAGTCATAAACTTTGTCCAACAACAATAGAGTTCTTTCTCTTGTCTTTCTTCATTCGCAAATACAATCGCTTCATCGCTTCATCTTCGCAACGGGCGGAAAAAAAATATCACGGGACTGTTAGTACGTACACAATGTAAAGTTCGCCGCTAGCTGGAATTCTCTATTGAACAAACAACATTTAAACTTTACTTGTCTACAGCTATGTCGCAAAATGAAGAGAACCAAGAAGGAGCAGAGAAGACTTTTCCGCAGTGAGACGAGTTGGGAGAAAAAGTGACACTATCCACCCACCGGTTACGTACTACGAATAAGCAGCCCATACCGCTCATGTCATACACTATCTCGCACGCTGTTCTTTTTTCGTCTACAATTTCCTACCTATGTACACGCGGTCTACATTCTTGTTCCTACTCATTCCCTTGCTATCCAGCTTCCCATAGACTATGCATTTCGGGCAAAACGCGCTACTGTATTGAGAAATCTGAGAACCCAGGCGTAATTTGCACAGTATTATTTCTCTACCTATACTAGGAATCTACATTTGTGTGTAGTAGTAAAAGAGGCTTTAATGTGATATTCAATTACGCACATCTCGGTATGTTCGCTACTTGTCTATTCTTGTGCGATATTTTCAATTACAGTCATTCGCCGAACCGCAGAGCGCAATGTGCATGAACAAGTCACATCCAATTTTTTCTTTCTGGTTCCTTTCAACCAGACGCTGCTAGACAGAAGAACACCAATGAGCCCCTCAAGTCTACCCAGTGCAAACATATCCATTTTAAGCAAAGTATATCTAACTTCATCGCTCCAGGTAAAGCTACGTCTCATTTCCGACTGTGATGATTAAGTTTTTTTTGATAATGTTGAAGGTTCGTTGATGAAGATGTGCAAGGGAGCTCATTTTATTTCTAACATGTATTGGAGCAAGATAAAATGTCCTTCAACATGCTTTAATTAGTGCAACAAGTAAGAGGGAAAGGCTCCAAAAACGAACCCCTCTGATGCTCTTTCACACACGACTCGGTGGTAACACAAAGAAAAAAAACTCCCTTCCTATTCAGCTGTATTGCACAACTAAAGCAGCAGCAAATTTACACTAAATGATCCAGTGCCGTCGTGTTTACACATACGCTGAGGAATATCCGGACCCGAAATCGCCATTTCGGACATCTCCAAGCGCACCGTGAGATACACCATCACGCAACAAGACAACAGTTCAATCGGCACTATTCTTTTCCGTTGATGCAATACAGTATTCACCACACTTATAGAGAAAAACAAGTGAGACTACTACAGTAGTTTTTACGCAGCACAAAGGTGCCATGTTGGTATATATTCCACATCCCGAATTCACGCCTTCAATGAGAGACCCCCCCCCCCCCCAAAAAAAAATAAAAAAATAAAAAATAAAAATAAAGGATCCGTTTGAAGGAAAATAAAAAGAATCAACAGCGCAACACAATCTCTCAATCAATGCTTTTCCAAAGCAACAGACCCCTCAAACAGGCACACCTACAAACCCAATCTTTGGTTTCACCCGCGCACCATCCGTACTTTCCCCACCCCACTGGCTCCGCCACTCCTGCTCTTCACGCTTGATTTGCGAGAAGGCTTCGAGCTCTTCAGGCTTCATGTGCTTTTCATCCTCATCATCCAGCTTGGGCAGGCCGTTGGTGCCGACATCAATGAAGTCGCCGTCGGGACCTGGGATGCCCAGGCCAGCAAAGGGAGGTTGCTGGAAGATGGTATCGACGACGAGGTATTTTCTGCGGACAAGAGGGGGTACGTCAGTGTCTTCGGGGGCGACTTCTTCCCATCGCGCGTGTGTCGGTTGTGTGACTTTTGGGTAGCACATGAGGTTGGTGTGTGGGTCGTAGATTCCTGAGAGGTTTGCTTTGCGGAGCTTGGAGAGGCTTGAGTTGAACCGACTATATACCGCGTTAGTTTCCAGGTTGCGGAATGGTTGAATGCGGGAAATTGTTTTTGCTTACCTAGCTGCTGAACCATGCTCGAATTGCCAGTTGGCGGATGTTATGTTGACCTTTCGCTTTCCAGGTGCAGGCTTTCCATTTGCTGTTGGCACACTGGGCACGCCCGTGTGGTAAACGCTACTAGCACCGTGCCAGGCAACGTATTGGTTCTTGTTGTATGGCTCTCCTGGAGGCGGAAGTCGGTCATTGGGGTCTGCAAGTTCACCCTCGACTGCACCATTTTCCCTCGCTGCTGTGACGTAGTAGTCGTCGATGATCCTCTTGCCGCCAATAATGATGCGCGCGCCGAACTCTCGGAAGACGGAGCGCGCAGTGACAACACCGATAGCACGACCCTTGTACGAGTGGGGGATAATCTCGCGGTCAATGAGGTCCCTCTTCTCAGTGTCGTCTATGATAATCTTGTGGAGTTTCATGTGCTTGGTGAAGAACAGATAACTATCCCTAAAACCACAGCATCGAGCGGGCTCGGTCGACAACATGTACTGCCTGTCTCCTCTACCTCTGATAGTGAAGATGCGAACTCGATAGTCTCGTCCGCCCATGAGATTGCCCAGTTTGTCGACCTTCTTCTCACCCTCTTCGTCTTCAGGTAGATCGACCTCATCGTTGACAACATCCATCATGGTTCCCTCTTTGTCGATGGGGACACGGGTCGTATGCGACTGCCCTCCCTTCGGCGGTCGTCCTCGACCTCCGCCAGACGGCCGCCCACGCTTGCGCTTGATAGGCGTACCACCTTCGGAGTTGTCTGGCTCTCCGGCGTTCCAGTCCGGCGGCCTGTTCTTAGGAGGTCGGCCAAGTCGCTTCTTACGCGGGAAAGGCTGGATGACTGCAGGCGATGGTGAACGTTCAGAAGGTGCGGCTTCCTCGTCGCTTGCTTGCGCTGCTGATGCGGCCTCCTCCTCTTCCTCTTCGTCCTTGGGAGTCTCGGCGCGCGACTCTGGGGGATCTATCATGTCTTCATCGCTATCTTGCTGCGGTGTTGCGCTGCGAACAGGCGTGCTGCGACGCGCTGCAGCTCGAGAAGGGCGTCCGCGCGCCATTGTGTCGCAACTGTCGTATTTTTGTGGCGCTATACAGACTACAGTTGTGGATCCGAATCCAGTGCGACTTGGGTGGTGATGGCGGCTATGGAATCGAGTGGAGGGCGATTGCGCTGCTCGGTGGTTGAGCGCTGTAGTGCTGTGGACCGCGACGTGAAGGAGCTAGACAGGGATCATACGCACAGTCCGCGTTCGTCACGTGCCCATCGGTCTTCCATATCGAGTAGTCAGGATGGATCTCCTTCCAGAGGCTCTTGCTGCCGACTCACAATTACTTGCCATTTTCAATGCTCCCAAAAACACCCTGTTGGTGCGGGAATCGTGAGCCGCTGCCCGGTGAGCATCTCATCTCAGAAATGCTCATTACAACTCCCTGTCCAAAGCCGTTGTACATGATAGTCTGTTGGTAATAGGCTGATTGATTTTCTTGTCAAAAAGGCTTCTAATAAAGCTTGTATTTCAAACACACAAGGGAGCCTGATCATTCAAAATCGAAGCGGATCTGGAAATTATGACCCAGACTCACATGCAACGGTCAAGCAGGACCGACCATGACTGTTTACAGGCATGGTGCAGAGTTCAAGAGCTACATGAGTGACTACCACTATCTCAGACCATCTAATAGCACTCTCCAACGCACGCAGCTAACATCTTGATACGGCCTATCAAGTCTCTGGTGTCAGTAGAGCACCCCAGCCATTCATCATGCACTTCGATCTCCTCAGCCTCAAAGCCAAGAAGAGCATTTCCCAGCTCCTATGCAGGAAGAACGATACCGAGTGGGTGTTTTGTACTTCTTGATTCCACTCAGATACGCTAATCATTCCAAGGAGCGCCTTTTCTGGTGCCGATCGTAACTTGATCGAGAGGGGTACAACTCCCGGTCCTTCACCAGACGAAGACTCCGTCCGACCAAATGCAAACGATTCGCCGTCGAGCAATAACAGTCCCTCAAGGCGCAAGGGTCTTGTAGGGTCGCTGAAGGAGAACAAGTTGCGAAGCATCAACTCCTTACGCAGTCTGCGATCACCAACCAAGGCCAAGCAGCCCGGTGTAGATGCTTCGCCTTGCGCTGATGTGGGTGCCATTCAACCACTAATTCGAGAATGTTACTGATCGCATATTCACTAGAGCCCTCACACTCCACTGCCCCGCCCAAGGTCGTCTCTCCTCCTCACTTTCCAAGAGTCGCCGGCCGATGAGCCCTTGTTTGACCTAAGCCGCACAGACTCGATCGATTTTGGCCATAACTTCTGCTATTCTTCGCCACTGCCTATCCCTTCATCGGAGAATCAGAAGCCGCAATCGTTTGTCTCGCCCTCTGTAATACCGGATGGCACTATCCCCTCCTCACCAGCTCCACTCCGGAAGCTCTTGGACCTGGAACAAAATGAAGATTTTCCATCACCAATGTTCGGGCCGGCGTTCGATCTGGATTTAGCTTGTGTGGACTTACTGGCTCCCCTTCAGGATGATGTGCAGGAGCCTCATCAGATCCAAGGCACTTCACGAGAAACAACTGAAGTTGTCCAAGCCGCCACAGAACACCACCATGTTCCAACCAAGGGCCCTGAAAGCGAACAATCCAGCACCGACAACACTAATGATTTGGTCAATGATCGTCGATTCATGCAGGAGGATCCCCACGTTCACGAACTGACGGAAAAGTTTGATCAGCACTGCCTCAATACGAATGAAGGCATGACAGACCCCTCTGACAATGTGTTGATGATCATTGGCAAGGACTACATGTTGAGAGTCTTTCACAATGGGGATCTCAAACGCCGCATCGGTATCACAGCGTATAATGGCCACGGCTATGCCCCAGACAACGAGTCGGAGATGATCCTTGCCCGCCGTGAGGAAGACTTCGCTGTGGCGGAAAGGATATTGCCTGAACTCGGCAGATTCGTTGTGCTGAATAGGGATATGCTTGGAAAAACGAACAGGGAACTGGTGCTCGATGAGACTCTTGCAGAACGCATACTTCCAGAATGGCTGGATCTCGACCTGGACATGGAGAGTACCGAGCAATTGCACAGCCGTGTCAGCAACGCTGGCAAGCGACAGAACCACGAGAGCACATGGGGACAGCATGTCGGGCTCTACGACGGAACTGGCTATGGAACGGGATCCAGCTCGCCTTCTTCGACGACGGCCGAGACTGGGATGGATGATGCTTGCCATTATGTTGAGAAAGGCAATCCCGAAGACGATGTTGCCGATGTACTCCCTGGTGTTTATGAGAAGACCTATCCATTTCGCTCGACACCCGACTCGTCTCGCTAACTTGACCCCGCGGGCAAGGAAAAGAGTATCGCTGGATGAACTGGATACACTTTCGGGTCCGAAAGCATGATGTCGTCTTTTCCGCCACAACGCTCAACATGCTCGGTCACCGAGTTATCACTAGGCAATGGAATTAGGATAAAAGGGAGCATGATGGAAAAAGCATTCGACATCATCAATAGCATGCAGATATTCGGGTCTGCACCTGAGACGTTCCACAGTTATGTTAGATAGTATCAATGCAGCCATTACCAAACCACGGTCTGATGCATCACATGTTGGGCCCATTTCGCCCTACAGCAACAGACATGCGGGGGGCGTTTTGAGTTACCAAACTCTCTGGTGATGGCACCACCGGGTTTACAAGCTCTTACATCAACAGCAACACAAAAAGTAAAGCAGCGAGCTTTTCGCACGCAGGCAGCCGAGTCGATCATCCGACCCTTGCAGCGGATAGTACGACAAGGCGTGCACCAAAGCAGTAAAGGCACAGCTCTAGAATGCGATCCTTACCGTTGCAATCAGGCCATATCGGCTCATGACCACTTACACCCGGGTTTGAATGGGCAAAAGTGGGCTTTTACTAACCACTTGCACCACTCACGACAAAGAGCAACGCGTAGCCGCGGTCCCCTCTTTTTCCACATTGACTCGTACGATAATATGTGCTGTGTCGCTTCCTCCTACCACTGAAGGCAGACAGAAGGGGGAAACAGGAGCGCATGTCTTCCATTTAGCATAGTAACCGATGAAGCGTGCGTGTATGGGTGTAAGTGGTCAGACTTGCGCATCGGCGCCGAAAACCGACCACTGGGGCGCTCTTTTAAAGGTAGCCTGTTAGCAAGTGCGTATCGTATGCAATTCAGAATCGGAGAGGCAAAAAGAGAGATTCGGCCCTGTTATTCTTTTCTGGTTGCTCTGCCCATTTGGCCATTTTCTTTGCTTTGCTACGTACCCCTCATTTAAACTGCCGATACCCCACGCGGAGAAGGAGCCACATTAGTAGCCATGGCTGTCAGCGAACAGCCTCCTATCTCCGACAACACCGACACCGTTATACTGGGTTGCGGCATCATAGGCCTGTGTACTGCCTACTATCTGACCGAGGCCGGTAAAACCAATCCACAAAATGTGCACATTGTCGATTCGAGTGCCGAGTTGTTCCATTGCGCGTCCGGGCTCGCGGCGGGGTTCTTGAGCGCTGATTGTATGTACCTGCGGCGGTGTGCTGCATCTTAGAAGTCTCCAGCACGCCCACGATTTTCGCAATCCACGTCGAATTCGTATATCTAATAACAATTTCCCCATTTTAGGGTTCGCACCATCCGTATCCTCTCTCGGTACTCTATCTTTCAAACTCCACTCCGAACTCGCCCAGGCACACGGTGGCCGCAAAGCATGGGGCTATTCCTCCTCAACCGGCATTTCGCTCTCGCAAGACAGCGAATCAGCAATTGCAGGTAGCGGCGAAGATTGGCTGGAAAATGGAACCAGCAGAGCACAAGCAGCAGGTTACAATAAACCGCCGGAAGCGCAGGTCACTCGCCCAGGATGGCTGCGACGCACACAAGAAGGAACCATGGAGGTCATTAGTCGAGACGGGACGACAGCGCAGATAGACCCATTGAGGTTCTGCCAGTGGGTGCTGAAAGAGATCAAAGCAAGAGGCGTAACCATACATCAACCTGCGCGAGCGACAGGTGTGATTCAAGACTCCGAGGGTGTACTAAGTGGTGTGCGGATACAACAAGGCGACAACGCTGACTCCCAAACCGAGCGTAAGACTCTCTCTCTCTCTCCACACAAGCGCACCCCTACCAATTACACACATACTAACTGTCTTTGAAAAACAGTACCATGCTCCCGCCTCGTAATCGCCTCAGGCGCCTGGTCCCCCCGCGTCTTCACCACCCTCTTCCCCACCTCCAAATCCCGCATTCCCATCTCCCCACTCGCAGGCCACTCCCTGCTCGTTCGGAACCCACATTTCAACCCTGCAGACGCCGACACCGAAGCTTGCCTTGCCATCTTTGCAACTGACACGCTCGGGTTCTCGCCAGAATGGTTTGCGCGGCTCGGCGGCGAGTTGTACCTGGGGGGTCTGAACAGTACAACTGTGCCGCTGCCGGATGTTGCGACGGATGTGCAGCCGAGTGAGAAGGCGATTGAGCAGTTGAGGCAGTGCGCGCAGGTCATGATGGTTGCGGTGCCGGAAAAGGACATGGAGGTTTTGAGGGCGGGTTTGGTATGTTTTGATTGCATTTGCTCCCCCCCTACGTACACACGTGTGATGCTAATGGTTCTACTTTGTGTAGTGTTTCCGTCCAGTGACATCGAGCGGCCGACCGATTGTTGCGCGGATACCAGACGATAAATTGGGGGGCCTCAAGACAAAAGAAGAGACCAAGGGAGGCGTTTTTATTGCTTCGGGACATGGTGCTTGGGGTATCTCGCATGCGCCGGGTACGGGGTTGGTGCTTTCGGAGTTGATGCTTGGAATGCCGACTAGTGCGAAGGTGGAGGCGTTGCAGTTTCCGTTGTAAGATTGTCGCTATGTAAAAACTCTGTAAGGTTGGGGCATTGAGGTGGTCATGAAAATAAATAGAATATTATCACATATCAATTTTTTTTTACGTACACACGATTTTACTTCATACCAGGGAGAATCTGCTTACAGTTATGCAAGTTGGCCAGTCAAGTAGTACAGTAACGCATCAATCACAATAACTCAACTTGCGACAGGGGGGGGGGGGGCACCCCATGTTCTTTTTTTTCTCTTCAAGTCGATAAGTTCGAGCACGTTGAAAGAAAAAAAACATTGCAGTTGGATCCGTAGAATCCCACTAACTATGAAACAGGCCGTAAATGTCGAGCAAAGTTGGTTGGTTAAACTAGTATATACATCTTCAATGAACCACTACTAACCATTACATACGACAACCGGCTCTCATCCCGCCAATGTCATCATGGCTTTTTTTTAGTTACATTCTTCCATACAAGATTCATAGTACGATGAGTAAAATGTATGTCTGCCACTTGAACATTTGAAAACTCAAACGTGGGGGGGGGGGGGGGGATGTAACTTGTAGATGTTTAGCACACCTTTGAGCGGAAAGAAAATCGTATAGTTGCAAAGTTGTGGCACATCAGTGTATATCGCATAGTCGTTGTTGCTACTGGGCTTGATTTTGGAGCGAGAAAAGGTTGTAGGTTTGCCTGATACGAGGGCGTATAGGATGTGTGCTCCGAGAGCTGTATTGCGCAAAGAGTAGAGTGTAGATTTCAATCGTGCAATGATTTACGTGTGAGTGTGGTGTTGGAGCTGTGGAGAAGGCGGATACAAGATATCTCAGAGTGTTGAATAGAACATTGTGGAGAAACTGAGGACTGGTGGATAAAGACATGGTATTGGGTATAATTAGAAAAAAATGGAATGAGAAAGAAACAAGACGCTGAAAGTAACTATGATACATTCGAACACAACTAACCAAGCTCTTCAGTTTACCCATGCTCCCGGCATCCTGCTCCTTGGTATCTTTTGACCACTTCGTACGCGTTCTTTGCGAGCTTTGGCAGCCATGCGGCGTTGGAAGCGGAGATCCATATTGATTTCCCATTTATCGAATGTAGTTGACATCCAGTAGGATCCGAGATCAGCAAATGGCCATTTCAGATCAAAATAGTAAAAGGCTTCAGATTCGACTGTCAATTTTTCGTACTCCGAGATAAGCAGATAGCCATCTGCTTCTTCGTCCAATGCCCACTCAAAGCTAAGACTCCATTCTCCAGTTTGAGGAGCTTGAAATACAACTCTTTTGTCAAAAGGCCAGGCTTTGAGCAAGGCTCCTGGACCAAGTTTTGCAATCTCATTACTCACCAACTGCTCCGCATTGAGGCCTGACGTTGACAGCCATTCAAGAAACATATCCCCTGCTGTGAATGATTCATAACTGCTTATGCAATAATCGAATAGATAGTAGAGTAAATCGCCTCCTCCTAGTTGTAAGTGATCAAGCAAGTCTCCTTTCACATCCAGACCAGATAACCCAGCCAGAGCTGACGATGTGGGCGTCAAAAAAAGACCTATCTCCGCACAAATTCTTTGCATAATACCAAGCTGTGTTTTGAACGCATCTTCGTGGAGGAAAAGGGTTGCACTTTGTTGATACAGCCACTGAAAAAGCTTCCAATCAGCACGGGCATACCTTGAGAAATCAAGATCAGAGCCGATATCGACCGATAACTCCGTTTCCTCAAGTATATAACGACAGATGGTGGCTTTTCCATGGATCGAAGAAGGTCCAGTCCAGAATAGTAAATGTGCCAAAGGAGAATTCCCCAAAATATTGAGGCTTTGCTTTAGGCCAAGTTTTAGAAGCAGTAGATAGATATCTGCCCTGCCATACATTGCAGCAACCTAGGCACTGTATCAGTATCATTTTCAGAAATTGACCATGAGGGCCTTACATGGAGCAAGGATTCCCCATAGGAATCGTGTGAGAATGGGTGAATCCCCCTGCGACGAAGCAAGTCTTGAAACTCTTGTATCGTATCCTCTTTAACGCTGAAACGGACCTCCCTATCAAAATATTCAACCAGCGGAAATGTACTGAGGCTTGGCAAAACTATGTCGAATGACCGGCGCTGGATCCACGTCAATCCGTAACCGAGTACGCTCCAGAGCAAAGTTGTCTCATAGTCTTCAGAAATAATGGATTCATGATCATTTTCGTAGCCCGGTATTGTTTGCTCCGAGTTTCCTGGTATGCGTCGAACTATTTTCCGCCGATGTACGCCTAGTCTTTGAAGTGACCAATGGACTGGTATTACTGATGATGAGACACGCGTAGTTCTCGCAGTCGATAACGAGGTCAGATCCTCCTTAGAGGACACAATTGTAGATTTGCTGTCCAGGATGGCAAGTTCCGCATGGTTTGAACGAGTGGCTTCTTTATTATTTTGGTTTTTGAGTAATGCAGGGCCAAGTTGCATCCTGACATCAATAACCACTCAGCACAGCCTTAACAATGAGTACCCTTGTTGTAAACTTACAATATAGCTCCGCAGTTCGCACCGAGGCTAGCATGGAGAAATCCGATTTCTCTCTCAATTCGCGTTTCAAAATCTTTAACATCCTTTGCCTTGAGACTGAACCTCAATCCAGTTTTGAGTTTGTCCATACGGGTGCCAACTTTCACTGTTGCAGGCGTGTATTTATCGACCATTGCATGGAACGGCTCAAGCATCTTCTCACAGCTCTTCAGACATTTGGATATCGTCATTGAGGGTATCGGAAAATGTTCTGCCTGCAATAATGTCTGTCGTTCCATCAAGGCGCGAACGTCTTCCAACAAGGCCTCAAGACGCTCCAGTAAGTCCACCAAACGTTCCAACTCTTGTTGTGCATCTCTGACGTTGCGAATGAAGGTCTTGATGGTCGCGATGGAGTCAATGAGCTGTATCGATAGCGAGGCAACAGCCATGCCACTAGCAACACCGGAAAGAGCCTCCATGGTAAACGATATCGGTCAGCTTAACCTACAAGATAGAAAAGTAGTAATGGAGGATTAGACAAGAACAACGCATGGTCCAGGGCTCAACTGCTTGAAATACAGAGCCCAGTAGTTCAGCCTCGCGTCAGCCTATGCACGGCATGCATGGTGGTGGCGGTGCATGCAGCTGCGCCCTCGCTTCGTCTGTATGCATTAGTTGACACAGCTGTAAGCGTCGCGAAGCGCTCAAAGGAGGTTGTATAACACGCAACATGATTGTTGCCAGTCGAAAGTGGAACAGTATCAAGCAGTTCAACAACCAAACAAAAGCTCCAAGGTGAGAGTGGAAAAGTGAACAGTTCTTGAGTCTCGGCCTTGTCATTAAGGGAAAGAGCAACACTCACCCTCCCACTCTTTTCGCACATATGACCAGAAAGCAGGCACACAAAGCAAAATATCAAGATAGGAAGCACGTGTGCATTTCCACATCCATACACACATAACGTAATATCTACAAGATATAAAACTCTCGATTTCTCATCATGGGTAAAAAAAACCCATTGCCTAATTCTGCACTGGCATGCAGCAAACACTTAGGCAAGTGAGAAAACAAACCGTCCATCAACTACACCAAGCCAATCATCATTTTGTAAAAAACGCCAATCAATGCTTGCTTTAAAAAGAGAACAAATCCCCAATACACACAGAATTTTAAGAGAGAAGAAAAACTTCCAAGGATTGCTTGTGTCTTGTGGTGTGTTTTCGAGGGCAAAATAATACAAGTCATACATAGTACTTGTTTGCCCCGCGCTGGAAAGGGCTTTAAGAAAAATGCATCCCCAACCCTTTCACACGCTTCTCTCAATTGTTCTCAACTTCCCCCCTTTGAAAATGCGATTTGCAAAAGGACATAAAGACGACAAGGAAAAAAAAGATCAATAATCCCCTTTTTGTTGATGTGTGTTGCTCCTAAATGAAGAAGGCGGGCCCCGACCAGGCTAGCACCTGGGTCTATATAATATGTAAATAAAAAAATGTCATTTCAAACATGGACGCGGCAAGCTCCGGTCCTCCTGAAAGGGGGTAATCATTGAAGAAGCGAAGACCAGCAAGTACAAAAAAACACCAAAGATGATGATAAAAAAACGTTCGTCGTGAGTGGGCGAAAGATAGAAAAAAGAATTGACACAGCCACGATGCCTATACACAGGAGAAGGTTGAATGGCTAGTAATGCTTTCAAAAGAGACTTGTAAGCAAAGGTCCTGGAGTTGAAGAGAGGCAGAAGGGTAGGCGGGAAGAGGGGGGAAGGCTATTTGGATCCGGTTTCTCGATTCCGATGGTGGAGAGACACACACACTCGTCATCAAAGCCTGCTTTTCTAATGGATGCGAATCATGACTTGACATTGAGGGGCAGCAGACAGAAGCGCAATGGCGATGGCGACGAGAGTAGTCAAGAGTCACAGGATGCTGCATGAATTGCCCGAGGACCTGGAAAAAGGTAACATGTTAGCGCGTTTTGCAAGATAAAAAAAAAGGATGCCCATGAAAAGGGTTTGGTTGTTGTAATGGAAGCAAGGGACTGGTGAATCTAGGCTTGGACGACTCACGCATATCTGTTGCGTCATGGTGACGAGGACAACGGAGATAATGCTTGTCTCGGCACAAACAGGCTCTCGGCGCAACGGGCTCTCTCGGCATCAGCTGCACCAAAACGGGGCCATAATGTTGCAACGCACGTCGTAGAAGACGGCATGGGACAAGTCCGGCGTCCGGGAGACCAGGATTCAGGGAACGTGTGCATGCGCAATGCAGGCCGGGTAAAAGAGAAGCTAGATAACTTACCAGCGCTGGCCGCGGATCCTACCAATCCACGAGTATACAATCTTGAGGCGCTCGCGGACCCGTTCTGTTTGCAGCAAAATGTACTTTTCCTCTTCCACGATAGGTACGACGGAAGCAAACCAATATGGAAAAATGGCAGGGTCCTCTGGTGGCTCGCCATACACCTGGATGATACGCTCGCGGAGCCAGGGTGCGCTGGCCTCTCTCATCTCTCGAACAAAAGCTGTGCAGCTGTCGAGCAGTTGTTGTGTGGATAAGGTTTCAATAGCAACCTCGGTGGGGAGCTGGGTCTGCGGGTGATCGCGGAAGAAGGCTTCAGCATAGTCACGTGCCATTGTGGTTTCGCGCTGCTCTAGTATTGCTTCCTCCGCAAGGGAAACATCCTCAACACGTTCAATGCGGCTGACGTGATATCCATCAAGCATGCCGTGCGCTCTCACCTTGAATCGGCCTACGCCGCGTGTTTCGATGAAGCTACGCCCATCGCGCAAAAGCTCGTAGTTGACAATTTCCAGTAGCGTGCCATATTCCAGAAAAGGAACTGAACCCAAATCGCCTTGTGGAGCGCGTGTGCGGTTGTACATGACCATACCAAACTGCCTGTTGCCCTCGATGACACGTCGCATCATGAGTCGGTAGCGGGGCTCAAAGACGTGAAGAAAGGTGGGCATGGATGGAAGCGACAGGGTGCAGATGAAGAGTGGAACATTTAGCACGTTGTCGCCCGCCTGCTCTTCAGCCTTGAGAGCATCTGCCCGAGCACCTACCAAGTCTGGGCAGAGTCCATTCAACAGAGAGTTGAGTATGACGTTGCTTGACTGGTTCTGCAATGAAGCAGGGACATGCAGCCCTCTTCGACAAAACGGGCAAATGCTGCTGTGATCCATGACGCGGGCAAGACAACGGCGGCAAAATGTATGACCGCACGACGTTGTTGTAGGGTCCAGCATCAGGTTGTAGCAGACGAGGCAGTCTAGCTCCTTGTGTATTACTTCCCTTAGGCGTTCCAATAGCATCAAGTCGAGGTGTTCGTAATCGTCCCCACTTCCCGAGAGTGACTGGTAGCGGATCTCGGAAGTGTACCGGAGGTTGCCCAGGTCAGCCATGGTAAATGCAGACGCAAGATGGCCGCCGTGCAGTTCCTGCTGGTGGCCTTGGCGTGCAGACGTCTCCTTTTCTTTCTCGTCCATGGATGCATCGTCTTCAGGCTGGAGCAATTCAACGAGAAGCGTCGGGGTGTTTTCCGTGGTTGCGGCATGTTTGGTCATTTCCATCTTGATTAGCTCCATCAACTTGGCCAGGGTTACGTCGACAGAACACTCCGCCGAGGCGTGTTCGGCCCCGCAACCCAGCAATGGACATGCAATGCCCATGAGACGGTCTGGTGTGTTGGGGTACGATACGTTGGTGCGAGGTTGTGGAGGCGGGAGGCAGGCGCGGCAGACGGTATGGCCACAAGGCAGGGTGACCGGGGTGCTCAGAGGCTTGGAGCATCGTGGACATTGGATCAGACGAACGAGTTGGCGGGCGTCGCGGTGGGCGTCCAGGGCTACGGTGTCGGAAGCCTCTGTGGAGCGGGCATTTTGGCACATGAAGGCCGGTGCAGAGAGTTGAGGCTCGAAGGAGTGCTCGACGCTACTAAGGATGGAGCACCCTTTTGTCCGTTGGCGATTCATGTAGATGCGCTGTGTGGTGCAATGGCTCAGACAGCCATGTGCGGTGGAAAAGCCCTTGTAGTGGGTGGGGAGCGGGCCGGGGGGTGGGGTGGATGGTAGCGGGCGTGTGCAGTGGGCGAAGTTGGCAGCAAGGCTGGCGTCTCGAGGATAGTCAAATGCTCAAGATAAGCAGCATGCGTGATGGTGCTGGGCCGAATGACGACTGCGGCGGCAGCGGGGGGTGGCAGTGGTGTTTGTGTTTGTGGAGGCGTCGAAGGGGGGAAGGAAATAAAGAGCCAGTCTTGAAATGGTAGACTGCGGCGGTCAAGTCTTTATTGGTATGATACAAGCAAGCACAAGCAGGGCTGCGTCGCGAGGGGAAAGGGCGCGAACAGGAGTCGCGAGGCAGAGAGAGAGAGGGATCGTGAGAGTGGTAAGGCGGGCAAAGGGAAGAAGAGCAGAGGGCCATGTTCAAATGGGCTCGAGTTGCACTGGTCATCCATGCTGGACGGATAGTTTGCCAAAAGATCGGCGATGTTGCTCGCGCGCCGGCCTCGTATCAGGTCGAGGAAGGCTGAGGGCCGATTTCTGTGTCAGCTCTGGGGTTCTCGGATCGAGACAGAAGGCCGTCATCGGGCGCAGGGCTAGGCCAATCCGGGGCCGGCTGGGTATAAAAATTGCACGGTCCAGCTGCAGAAGGCATCGAACGCAGACGACTGACGACTTGCTTGTTGTGCGCGCCACCTGCACCCCGACTCGTGTAGAGTATCCCGACCGGTGCAAACCACGGTGCCGCGGCCTGTGTACGGGGAGACGGCATCAGTGTCGGGCGATATGGGCCTGGCTGGCTGTCTGCCAGCGGCCACCAAGCAGCTCCCAGTCCAGCTCGACTTGACGGCCATGTCCTGTCCCTCTTGGCCGCGCGACGCGCGCTCGCTGGACAGAGGCGGATGTAGGCCTTGGCCACGCACATTGGGCCATCCACTCTTGGGCGCGCGTGTGTTTTGTCGACATGTCTACACGCAGCGACGACGGGCTTGCAAGCGTCATGGACGTCGAGTCTAGCAGGACGCTGGCCAATCAGCGTCCGCGCCCGCTGGCACTGCCAGACGTCAAGCCCATGCCCTCCATGTGCCACACGCCCGCCAAGCACGCGTTTGCAGACGCCTGGCCGCCGCAAAGGACCCTGGACATCCCCCAAAGGGTCCGACAGTCGTGACGACTTGCATTCACCACAAACGGCGGGGCAGCCGCACCCAGCCTACCCACTAGCTGCCACCACCACCGCCACCCCCGGCTATCCACACACACATGCATGCTCACTTGCGTCCATGCATCCATACACACACACGTCCATGCTCACTTGCGTCCATTCTCCATACACATACACATACACATCACCCCCACACCATTGCTGCCACTGGCAAGCTGCTTGCATCCGCTGGCATTCACTCGACCCGACTGTGCCTGACTATAGCGCCGCCCCCTCGCCCTCGCCAGAAACACCCCAAAACAGCAGCAGCCTAGCGCGCTTGCTCCTCCTTGGCAACCTCTCCGTAGCCATAGCGCGCCGGGGAACTCCATGGCTGTATGCAAAAACAAAACCACCTGATCCAGCCTTCTCGCTCGGCTCCACAAACACCACTATCTTACATCGACATCCCTGTACACACATACACAACGCTCCTCAACGCCCAAGTCCCCTCCCATCCCCCGCGCCTCCGTTTCCTGTCAACACTACCATGCTCTACAATGCCCTAGCCGCCCCATTCACTCCCCCAAGACTGCTCGCTTCCGCGCTCTCTGCCGACTGGCTGCTTACCTCGTCGTCTCCCTGCTCGTCTTCCTCTTCCAGCACAATCTGCTCCAGCACCCGCTTATCAAACAGATCTAGTATGAACCGGCACGCCGGAAGCCGGAAATGATGTGCTTCTAGTATCTGCATCACCTTGTGGAATATTGCCGGTTTGCTGAAGCCTGGCGCTTTTCTAGCCTTGATACTAAACCCCCACGCGTTAGCTTCTTTGCACTCCCTCATCCTGCCTTTGGTTTCACAGCACAAAGTAGTCACTTACGCCTGCAGGTCGCTGGCTGCCTTCTTGGCAAGCACCGTGTTGCCCAGGTCCGTCACGAGTTTGAGTATGCGCGCGTTGACCGCGTCCTCATCCGTGACCGCAACCTTGATCTCCGCTTTGGGGTTCCAGCTCATCTCCTCTGCCTGTGCCACCCAGGGTCCCATCTGCACAACCATTAGTGCATTTTCTTCCGAAAAAAAAAGAAACTCCGTTACTGACCGTGAAAAGTTTGTTGAAGTCCAGGGGTAGACAAAAGCCTAGCGCTTCACCTGAATCATTGACTACGCCATCCCAACCATGTTCGAGCAAAATCTCTTGCCCGTGAAGACTCCTCGAAATCAGCCCTAGCACATAGAAGGCTGTCCCTCTGAGCGACATGACCTCTGACTGCTCAGCAATCTGCACAATCCACTTGACCACGTCAGAGTTCTCCAGGAATGGCGCACCCAGCTCCATGGACCCAACATTGCCCACCGCCCACAGGCAGCCTTTGACCTTGAGGATAATCTCAGGGTCGTCGTTTTCGGATGCAAAGTCTCGAATCGTCGCCGCAAACTCATCAAAGTGTCCTTTTTGCTTGAGGAGCTTGCATCCCTCCTTGGTTCTCGTTAGCTCGCGATAAAAATGCGGCGGCACAAGGCCATAGTCTGTCGGCTCAGGTGCCTCGTCGTATGTTTGTTGAACCGATGGCTTCTCGGGTATGTCCGCAAGCGCGCGGGCCATGGACGCTTCGATCAGGGCCACATAAGTGTCATTTCTCCCCAAGAACCAGTCGTCCATCTCTCTCGTGATGTAATCCAATCCGTCCAGATAGTGGTAGCCTACCGAGGTCGACAGGAATCGGAGTAGCAAGGGTGCCCCAATCTCGCCCAAATGGTCCAGCGCTGGACGGCACTTGACCACAAACTCCAACGACTCCTTCTGATTGCAAGCCTCCTCGAGGATCTTGATCGCAACCTCGCACACCTCTACATCCGGGTCGTAAAGCTGCGTCACCAGCAGTCTGATGGCCCATTCGGCTACACCAGCAGAACTGCTGACTCCCATGGGCTTGGTCGCGTACTTGCGCAACAATCTAGTGGCAAAGATGCGTATCTCCTTAGAACACGACGTCATTGCCTTCGAGATGATGATGCGTAGATGGCCGTCCAGTGTGTAGTCCAGATTGCTCAGAAGGGTCCGGATCAGATCGTCGCGGTCGTTGAGTTCGATGATGTGGTAGAACATATTGATAACTCTCCATCGTTCCAGAATTTGAATACCCCGGAGGTCTTTCGTCAGAGCCCCGAGCAGTGCAAAGTAACCACCAGTAAGCGTTTCGTTCATGCGATCCGTCTGGAAAATGGGCGATTCAGATGTCAGCCCGCTCATCCGATCAAAGTGCGATAGGCATTCTGCGAGTTGACGGATAAATTTACTCTCCGCCAAGTATTTGACGCCTTCGGGGTTTTGTAGCAGGCTCTGCATTAGAGCACAGCCTGCTCGAACATATCGCTGGTTTGGCTTGGTGTTCTTAACCTCAGAAAATCGATATTTGAACGGACGATAGAAGCCCAGGACTCGGTGGATGAATTTGGTAACCTTGATAGCTTCATCCAACCTTTTGGGGTTCAACAACGGCCCCTCGATGATGTTTAGAATCAAGTCCCATCTCCACTTTTGGAACGTGACTGTGTTCAGTACCTGGGTTTCGACCATCAGGTTCCGAAATTGGCCCTCGTCAACTTGCATAGCAGCCTGCAGCTTCGCGGCTTGGTCAGACTGTCTATTTGCTGATGCATCATCAAAAGTCGAGATGCTTTTGGTATTGTACAAGGATGTGGGGTCCGACCGGTACAGTGTTCTGTTGATACTGTCGACCTGATAGATGGTGCCAATTGCAACAAAACGGCTTTCGGATTGAAACTTTGCTGCAGAGTGCAAGAGCTGAGGAAGTACCTGAAGCTGGGCGCTCCATGATGGTGGCAAGAGTTCATTTGCCATCTTCAGAACCTCCCCGATAAGCAAGGTCGTTTTGCGCTTCAAAGGTAGTGTAAGGGGCTCTGCTTCGGCCTGCAGCAAAGCTGGCATCAAGCCGGCATGCAGAAATGCCGCCAGAATCACAGAGACGTAGTGATCCAGCAAGCTCCACTTGGTGGTATCGTCTTCAGTGCTACTCGAAGCTGTCGTGTCTTTGATTTGCTGGTTTTTGAGGTTCGTAACACGTCCATATGTAGTCAGTCGACGTCCAGCAAGAAACGAGGACGACCACGAAGGGGGTTTGATCCTAAGAAGATCGAATAGTAGTTCTAGAATAACACTCCGAACGTGAGGAGTAGGTATTTGTAATGACCAGAGTAAAGATCGGAGAGGAAGAAAGTCGTTCATGGAAAGAGTGAGTAGTCCGCCCCAACTTCGGAGCAAAGACGCAATGACCTTGGCATTGACTTTGAGTTTTTCTTCGTGAAGATGTCCGTGAACCGTGCTTGCGTCAGTAAACAATGCAAACGGGGCTTCTAGTTCTCGCCCAGATCGCAGAAATCGACGTCTTCTGGGCGTGTCAAGAAGGTAAAGGAATGAGGTACCAACACTCTCCGCGGCGAGGTAGCTTCCTTCTCCCAAAGCATCGGCCAAAGCGCCCATGCCTCCAGCTGAGACGAGAAGAGATGGTTTTCGGACAAGGATTTCGGCTAGAGTCAGTGTTGCAATGTTCCTGAGGCGGTCTTCTGCATGCTCAGCCACAGCCACAATGATGCGGACCACGGCGCGTGGAATCTCTTCGACGCCTCCTTTGACTTCTAGAAAAGCTCGAACAAACTTCAGTGCTTGTTCACGCTCAACACTAGCCTTGCTTTCCTTGACCAGTGATAGAATGACCAAGTGATCTGTATGAAGGGCACGTATAATTCGCAGCGACTTGCGGTCGGTAAAGGAATAGCGCATGACACGGTACGCCGCTGCGACTACTTCACGACTGTCGCTGAGCAGCATCGTCTGCATCCGCAGTCCGAATACCGACCAGGCCAGGTCGTACTTGAGTGTGGGATGTCGCTTGAAGAGAAGGACGAGAGAGTTTGCTCTCTCTACGTAGTATTCCGGTTGCATGCCCTGGACTTCCAGAGCCTGGAGTATCTCGGCGAGGACAAAGGTTGGTGACTCGGTCTCCTCATCTTCGTCCTCTTCTTTCTGGGCCACATGGCGTGATGGTGAGCGCGATAGGTTGCGACGGAAAAGATATGAGAGCCTGCTTTGAGGGTCGGCTGGTGGGGATTTGACCTCCTTGGCCCTCTGCTTCTCCGCAGCCAAGCCAGACTGGAGCTGGGCCAGTTTTCTGTTTGATATATTTAGCTGTTCCTCGACTTGCAGCCGTTGATTCTTGACTTCTTTTGCATTCTTTGCATTGAGTGCCTCCAACAAGTTCTCCGACCCAATTTTGATCTTGGTCTCCTTCTCGATTTGGTCCTGCAGCTCGGCCTGTCGCTGCTCGGACGTGGTTCCGTCGTGGTCGGCAATGGTGATGGCGTGCATGTCGAAGTCGGGCCGGACCCTGCCCTCCTGGGCTGTCGAAGGTCTGGTCAGAGCCGTGTTGAAGCTGCCGGGCCCCGTGTTTGCAGTCGCATACGAGGCATACGAGGCCTGGCCTCCTCGCGAGCTGGCCATACCAGCGGCCGACATGGAACGGCCATCTCTACTCGTCGTGGGCGCAAGGAGCGACGTCTGATCGGCAGCGTCGGCCTGGGTATTGAGTGAACGGGCGGATGGCGTCATGAGCGCGCCTTAACCGTGGCCTGGCCAACCGCATCGCACATGTGTCTGGCGGCGGTGCCCTTGCCTTGCCTCATGAGCATTCGCGGGCAGAGGTGGAGGTGTGCCCGTCGCGGTACCAGACCGAAAGCGGAAGTGTGGCTCAGCCGCAGCGTGGGAGGGAGTGGCCGTGGCCGTGGCAGAGGCTGGCGAGGGTGGGGCGCGTGTATATGGCGGGTGAGGGTGAATGAGGTGGGAAAACAGCGCCGTCCATAGCCATCGCGACCTGTTGCGGGCGGTGGCCGCTCGACGTGCACGGACTGGGCTGCCCCCCTGCTACTACTACTACTACTACTACTAATACATACTTCAAGACACACACTTACTTTGTACATGATGCATACAGTACTTGTATCTACATACATGCTCCCGTCCTGCAGCCACAAACTATATTCGTCTCGGCCTGGACTGACCATGGCCTGATGCCGTGCCGAGTCCAGTCTGCCGGCGAGGCCCCGCCACTCCAAAGCCGTGCAATGTGCCCTCTTTGTGCATCGGCAAGCGGGGGCCTGGCTCTCCCTCCGTCACGTGCGCGCCCTGCGCCGTTATCCAGGCCCTCGTCCATCGACCGGAGCTCGCCGATGGCCATGTCAACGAATCGAAGCGCGTTCTCGCCGCTTCCTGCGCGATAGTCCATAGCTTGCTCGTGAAACCATCCGATACACATCGGTCTCCTCCGCTTGCCGGTTCCCAGTCCAGCTCCCGTTTTCCAGTAGTATATCTATCTTGATCGCCCTTTCGTGACTGTCTGCTTCATCTGCTCATTATCCTCCAATTCGCATCATCACAATGTCTCAGCTTAGCTACGCCCGCTACGGAAAGGACAATGTCCGCCTGTACAAGGTCGACAAGGACCCCAAGACCGGCATTCACACAGTTGTCGAGCAGACAGTGCGCATCTTGCTCGAGGGAGACATTGAGCAATCGTAAGCATACTAACACAAGTCGCCATGACGCCAACTGACGCGCCCCAGCTACACCAAGGCAGACAACTCGGTAGTCGTCGCGACCGACACGCAGAAGCAGACCACCTATATTCTCGCAAAGCAACACCCCATCGACCCACCAGAGCAGTTCGCCGCCATCATTGGCGACCACTTCATCAAGACCTACCCTCACATCCATGCTGCCCACGTCAAGATCATCCAGCATCGATGGACGCGCATGTCCATTGACGGCAAGCCTCACCCACACTCATTCTACCGCGACGGCGAAGAGACGCGCGTCATCGAGGCCGTAACCCGCGAAAACCAAGGCGTCTCTATCCGCTCCAAGATTGAGAAGCTGCTAGTCCTCAAGAGCACGGGATCAGCATTCCATGGTTTCCATCGCGACGAGTATACAAGACTACCCGAGACATGGGATCGTATCCTGAGCACCGAGATTGAAGCCGGGTGGCAGTGGAAGCTGTTCAAGACTTTGGATGAGGTTAGCAAAATCGACTTCGGCGCTGCATGGAAAACTGCGCGAGATATCACCATGAAGGTGTTTGCCGAGGACGACAGCGCGAGCGTGCAGGCAACCATGTACAAGATGTGCGATTTGATCTTGGCGGCTGTCCCCGAGGTTGAGGCTGTCGATTATTCACTCCCCAACAAGCACTACTTTGAAATAGGTCAGTATATCCAATCCATATTCGCATATCCTAGTTTGCTAACACAATACCCAGATCTCTCATGGCACAAGGACATCAAGAACACAGGCAAGGACGCCACAGTTCTCGCGCCTCAAACTGACCCCAATGGTCTCATTCAGTGCACTGTCACCCGCAAGGGAACAAAGTCCAAGCTGTAAACATCATTTATAATTATCGTGTTGCATCTTTCAAAATGCGGCGCCTTGATTTCTTGATACCCTTTGACGCTTAGTAATTTCTAGGGGATGAATTTAGAGTGAGTAGAACATTATACCAATATCTATGAGAGTACTGTAGAGTAGCAAAAGTAGAAAAAACATAAAAATGAATTTTCCGAACTTCTGACTGTCCCAATCGCAAGTGAATGTTGGACCAAGAAGACTATTTTCTCTTCAAACTTGCTCGAATTCTACTTTTCATGTTGAACTTGCAGTTACAATTGTGGTTACTTTTGCGTAATGTCCGCTATGCGCCCGCGCCTGCAGAATCGGGATGGTTCTTACCTAAGCAAATCAAGCCAGTGACGTTCTTGCATGCCCAAAACTTATCGCGAACTCCATCTAATTAGCAGCCGCATCGCATCCACCGCACCACCCACCCACACCCCTCTTAGATCAATTCACACGGTATGTCATCGCGACTTTAAAAAAACAATGTAGTGGTTAACAGTGATGTAGTATTTCACACAGCCGCAACGATGCCTCCCAAGTACATGACTGGCAAGGGCCGCACCGTTCAAGAGCCCAGCTTCGCCTCCAGTACCATCTCGGCCTTTACCAGCAAGGAAAACAGGAGCATTGTCACTGCTGCTGGAATGTTCGCTGTAAGATAACCCCCGACAATAGAGAAGGAGACACAAAAGACTTGCTTCGGGTGGCCAGTGGGGCGCAGATGAGGATGTATTAGAAGAGCGATGACGCGAAGACACAATGCTGACAATTCACTGCGCAGCTTGGTGTCGCTTTCCTGCACAGCAGCTGGGCTGAGATTCTTCTGCCTGCGTAAACGAACCGATTGGATACTGGAAAACGAAACAACACATGCGCTACCATTGAATATTCTGACGCCAGGATTGAGTATCAATGTTCGTGCATAAGACCCAGTCTGTGATCAGAAGAAAAAAAATCAAACGAATCTCTACGCCTGTGTACATATACCAAATTTCACCTCAGGGACTAGCAATGGAATGGGCGTTCAGGCACAGCTATGATGGTGGGGGAAAATTAAGTGAACCTGAACAAGGTTCCAAGCATCTTTGTAACATTATGTAACAATAATCTCCCTCTTACCCCTCTGTTCTCCCCTTCCTTTCCTCTCGTATTCGATGTTCTCCCTTTCCACGATCGATTCGTCACTACGTCACAACCATCGCAGAGCCGCAGAGGCTGAAACCTCACATGCTTCACACCCAAATGCCAAGCACTGTCTTGTTGTCACGGAGAAAAGAAAGAAAGCTTGTACATGACACTCGGACGGTTTACTTTTCCCTCCCCCCTTGACTCGACGTTGCCGTTAGCCCCCCTCGACCCGACACATTCCAAGCTTGGCCCTGTGTTTCGGGGTTTGGTTCCAAAGAACCCAGCCTCATTTGAAGCTGCCACTGTCCCAATACGGACGTTGCCAAGTATTCCACACACGCTTGGCCATCAGGTCAACCACAGCCCATGCGCCGTGCCTGTGTCAAGTGGGTGGGCTCAGCCGATGCTGGTCCCATTTTTTGGGGCAACCCGTCGCGTACCTCACTTACACCTTGGTCCCTGGAAAACCGAAAAGGGAAATGAATATATGGCATTCTTTTAAGAGAAAACAAAAAAGGTGAGGCTAAGCTATACAACGGGTAAATACGACGCCGCACCTCCTTCCCCAATCTAATGTACACGGCCTCTTTTTGACATTTCATTGGGAGGTTTCTTATGCAAAGCGCTCCATGCCAGATAGAAAGAGAGAGAAAAAAAAGTAATGTAGAAGAAAAGTGTGAACGAGGAAAGGGCGCGTAGACGACGTATCGAAAGCGTACACGTTATGATAGTAAATCAAGCCACTCTCCTCTCCCCTCCTCTCCCCCCCCCCCCCCCATTTCCCACTCTCACGGGCAATCACACTCAATCACTTTTCTGTCCGCGTGGCCCGCAAAGCCAAGCTAGCCAAAAAAAAACCCCCCCAATAATCACATTTCTAACCGCCCGCCTACCATACGCTTAAAAAAAATGACATCTCACGTCCCCCACGCGATCGATTGGCCCGCAAGCCAAGTACCTTGGACAAGATGAACCACTCCCCCACCCCCCTTTATCTGCTTCAATCATGCGCCAATGGGATGTCCAGGGAAAAGGAAGGGGGAAAAAAAAAAGGACTAGGGCACGCGGGCCGTGATGGATGAAATTTCTTGGCTCTGTCATATATCCATCCCCTCTCCCTTGTTTTTTTTCCTTTTTCGGCCGTTTTCCTGGCTTCCCAAACCCCCGGTTTTCGGGTTGTTGTTGGTTTCGTAAGCGCTGGTGGCGTTTTCTTTTTTTCTCGTTGTTTCCAGGTGCGGACGTGTAAGTCATTGAATTCTGGACGAATATCGGAGAAAATAAAAAGAGCGAAGACGCTTGGCTGGGACATTTGTGCCGAAGTGGTAGTCTAGTATGTACGGTCGTGGGGTTGGAGGTAAAAAAACGCATTTGGGTGTGGAAGGTTGAAGCATAGGCGGCACAAATACAGTTGAATAGACATTGATCAAAATTATCACTCCATTGGTAACTATGCAAACGAACCAAGAAAACAGAGAGTGTCTAGCTTTTTCTAAGAGTAAAATCGTCTGCCTATGTGTTTGCATATGAATTCGGATCAACAGTCCGGCTGTGAAAGAAAAATGAGAGTGTACAAAAAGTGAGGTCTCTGTATCTAAACCAGAAAACAAGACCCAGCATTAAGCCTCGCTAGAATTACAGCAACAAGAGAAACCTGGCCATCCTCAAGATGACAACAATCAGACCCTATCAAGAAGGCATACAAGAATGATAAAGGGAAATGTGTCGTAAACATGCGTGATGCTGGGGTATCTTTAGTCTATACTTCTCTAACCCAAACCTAGCAATGCAGTTAGTACATGGTCATTGAATTCGAGAGTGAGTATTTGGCAGCGACTTACCTCCATCTTCGCAACATCGGAGCCTTCCTTCTTGGCAATGCTCTTCGCCGCCTGGATAGCCATATCCAGGTCGTCTTGATCAGCCATGGTGATCATGTCACCATCGTCCTTGAACTCCAGCTTGAACTTGTTTCGGACGCCAAACTTCTCACGAATTTGTTGCCAGAATTCGGTAATGAGTTGGTCTGAGCTGATGAAGACGTAGCGTGTGTCAGTGGAGTGAACCTTCACCCTGATCTTGCTACCTCCACCGCGGTTGCTGCCACCGGATCTCGTGGACCTCGCTGGTGACCGTCTCCTTGATTTGGTGCGGGGCATCATTTCAAACTCGGCATCGTCAAGATCACTGCCATCGTAGTCGTCTTCCTCCTCCTCTTCAATGTACGCTGGTCTTCTGGTCGACTTTGTACGGGAGTATTGGCCGCGGCTTGAACGCGATGGTGGATAATCATCATCCTCGTAGTAGTCATCGATGATGTCTTCGTCAGAACCACGGCGGCGCTGTTGCTGCCTGCTGTATTCACGATCGCGTGGATCACGATCGCGGGGGTCACGATCGCGGGTATCTCGCTCCCGCGTATCGCGCTGTCCCCGGTCACGTGTAGACTCTGAGCGAGCTGGTGGCGGTCGCTCCGATGCAGAGCGCTGTGTTGGCTGGCGGCGGGGCGGCTCTTGGCTGCCTGGTTGGTCGAAAGCAGCTCGTCCAAGATTCAAAGGCTGGGGCTTGGGCCCACCACCTCGTACAGACTGTGCGCGGCTCATGGGGGCGTTGGGATCAGCTGCAGGTCGTGCTCCAGCAGATCTCCTTTCACCAGATCGCCTATCGGCCTCTGGTGGCGGTGTAGGCGGGAATACATTACGGTTCATCGGGGGTTCCGACTGCTGGCGTGCTCGGCTTTGGAGCTCTGGCTTGACAAGGTTGGTTGCCGCATAGGAAATCTTGTCTTCGGTTCTGTCGTCCTTTGCAGCCTGGCCTCCCTTCTTAATCTCAGCGCCGGTAAAGCCGGTGAATGCGTTGGATCGGTCTGATGCGGCAACAAGGCGAGCCTTTCCAAGATAGTCCTTTGTCTTCAAGTTCTTGACTTTTGCCTCGTTGGGGCGGTAGACAATGCCAACAGGAATAGAGAAGACAGTATAGCCCTGGAGGGGCGTTGTTAGTTCGTAGCACATTGATGCAAATGCAAAGTCACACATACCTCTGCTTCCTCTCGAATGGCCTCGTCAATGACATCGTGGTCTGGAACCACCTTCTCCTTGGCAGCAAAGGAAAGATCCTGCAGACCGGCCTCCCTCTGTTGGAGGTAGATGTAGCAAAGACCACGGTTGAACAAGACCTCGCAAGAGTAGAGCTTGAACTTTAGGCCCAGCTGTTCGTAGTCGATGTTGTTGTTTCCACGCAGGTACAAGAGAGTGTCGTTGAAGTTTGCGAGGGCCTCCTCAAAGTCGCCCATGAGGAAGTTGGACACACCCTGCTGGAAGTAGGCGACTGCGAGATACTGGTCCAGACGCACAGCGCGCTGGTAGCATTCGACCTGGGAGTCTGTCAGTATGCCTTTGGTGGCATCCGCGGGGTAGCGCTCGACTTACCGCCTTCTCGTGCTCGCCGAGGGTAGCATGGATCACGCCGCAATTAAACAAAATCTTGGATGTGTCGGAGATCTGCTCGAAGACCTTCAGTGCCACGTCGAATTCGTTGTTGTCGTAGCTGGCGAGGGCTGCCACCCAGGTTTCGATTTCCTAGCATTTCTATCAGCAATTGCAGGCAGGCGGTGAGGACTGGTGTTGAGCGGACCTGTTTCAGAGACATGACGAGTGGTGTTCACTTGTTTACCCGGCAGTATGGTGTCGTCAAGCCTCAGCTTATTCTCACTCTCCCGTCTCTTCTGTTATCAGCCCACTTTGCGAGGGTCGTATATTCGTTGTCTCTTGTACACACACACAAACACAGGAGGGTTAGAGGGCTAGGGGGGTCAGGCGCGGGAGGATTAGGGTTGTAGCCGCCGGGGCTATTTGGGTGGCGCGGTGCTGACGACTATTGCTCCGGAAGGTCGTGTGCGGTGGTGGTAAGTATTAGCAGGTCGAGACGGCCTGGATGCAGCCCGGAGCGGTTCGCGGGGAAATAAACGATTGTAGCGGTGCAAACGATTAGAGCACAGTTGGAGGGCCGGACGAGAGGGAAGAAGGTTTCGATGGCGACACGCAGAAGAGACAGGGGACGGCGGGCATATGGCGGGCGGTTGTGCTGCGAGGGCCACAGGTGGGGAGCAAATCTGAGGACCATCGTGTTTGAGGCACAAGGCTTGGCTGGCACCTCGTCCGTCGAGGTGATTGGATCCCTGCAGCGTCGACAGCGCTTCGAGCAGGCGGTCCAAGACGCCGCAACCCGGCCAAGTCAGCCAGCCAGCCCACCGTGGCACCACCGCCTGTCTGGCCCGCCCATGGCTCTGCTCGCGCGCGCCCTCCCGCCCTGTCGGCGAGGCGTGCTGGTGTCGGGGCTGGCCAGCGACGGCCTCGCAGCAGCCCCCTTGGACCGGGGCGCAGAGGTGGCGTTTGAGGTCTGTTACACGGCCACGGTCCGACTGAGACAGCCACGTGACAGAGGCCGCTGCCGGCCACTCGTCCACCGTCGCCTGGCCCCCTCAGGCATGAATGCATAACGACACCCATCCTCGCCGACCCAGCGATCCCGCACCCGCAGTTTCGGCCTCGCCAGCAAGGCACGCGTGTTATCTCAGCTGCACACCCTCGCGGCACTTGGATGCCTCTTTGATTGCTTGGTCTATCTTGGTACCGCTTGTCTGCTCCGAGTCTGACCCCCATCACAGCATGCCGCGATCGCGCTGCTCCTCGCGCTCCTGCCACACCGTCTTGCCCGAACACGAGCATACCGTCTTGTCGTCTGCACAATGGCATCCATGTTAGCAATCGTGTGCGTGTGCGTGTGCGTGTGCGTGTGCGTGTGCGTGTACGTCTAGTGTGGGACCTGCGCCTGCTGCTGCGCATCCCAGAACACGTGGGGAAATTGGCAAAGCACTTACTATCCCATACGCCCGCACTGCGTGCAATGACCCCAACTAGCGTGTCCGCATCCTTCTTGTCAAACTATCGTGAGGTTAGAGCAGATCAAGGCCCAGTACCATGGTGACGCATACCTTGCCGTCCTGCTCTCTCGCAACCACAATGCTGCGTCCAATCACTTCCCAGATGTGGATAGGCTTGTCGAGAAACACCGATCCTACTCCACCCTTTCCGACCTGAACGGTTCCGAAGATGCCTCGACAAGCCTTGGTCTCTTTTTGTGACTGCCCGAGTTCCCAAATCCCACCAGTCGATTCAGGTCCCTCGGAAATGTTTCCCGACTCACGTACTGTAGCATGATAGGTTCCAGGTGACAACCCTCTTATACTCAAGTCCACAATCGTCATACCAGGGGAAACCTCTACCATGCGCACCAGGCCGCGAACCTTGTTCTCCACCTGCGGCGCGTGTGATTCTAGAATGCAGACCGCTGCACCTGCGTGGCATGGTCAGTGTATATACGTGTATGCCAAGTCAACCACTCCAACCTACTGTCTGACTTGCCCGACCCCCGCAGAACAGCATCACGGCCAGTAGCCTGAATCGCCTCTACAATGGCCGACGGTGCTGCTGTGCCCTCGATAGATACTAACTGCTCCTTGAGGTTGGCAGTCACTTTGTTGATACCTGCACCTTGTCAGAAGCCGAAATGACGTGCATTGGTAGTCGGCGCTCGTACCACTCAACTGATGTAGGGAACCCTCGATGTCATTGATGCACGACTGACAGGTCATGGGCACTGCGAATATCGTTTCAAAGGGCGTTACCGTCATGGCGAAAAGAGTGAAATCGGTATATTAATGCCAGATGGCTCGACTGTGGAACAAGAGAAATGGTCAAAGTTGTGAAAAACATGCCACTTCGCCCTTGGTACTTATTCCTCGCTTTGAAATCCACACCCGAATCCCCCGCCTGACATGGATGCTGCGCTGGGGTGGGCAGATCTTATCAATCATGTGACTGCCTTCTGGAAATTGTGAGCATTGCGGCTTGGCACCAACCTTCACTGTGCAGCAATCACCACTGCCGCCACGACATTGTACCCGCCCAACCGCCTTCTGGACAGTCCTAGGGCGACTGTTGACTTGTCTTACCACAGTAGACAGTCGGTTTCCCTGGCCATTGGCCTCATACCACACAATGTCGCAAGTCATAGGCAAGGTACACATCCCCCCATCGGACCTCCGCATGCCCATACCCAGATCCTCCCAGCGAATCTCCCTTACCCAAGTCAATATTTTGCTCTTGCTATACCACCGCTGACAAACTCCCCCAGACGCGCCTCGCCTATGCCCGCTCCTGGCACCACCTCGACATCGGCAGCGACCCACGCGCCCTCGGCCGCGTCGCCTCGTCCATAGCCCTCACCCTCATGGGCAAGCACAAACCAATCTTCGACCCCTCCACCGACTGCGGCGACTATGTCGTCGCCACAAACTGCGCCCAGCTCCACACCACCGGCAAAAAGCGCTCCCAGAAACTCTACCGCACACACAACACCCGGCCCGGCTCCTTAAAAGAACTTTCAATGGACAAGCTCATGGCGAAATGGGGCGGCGGAGAGGTGCTGAGGAAGGCCGTCAGTGGCATGTTGCCGAAGAATCGCCTGAGGAAGGAGAGACTCGCGCGGTTGAAGACTTTTGAGGGAAGGGCGCATCCGTATGGGGAGAACTTGATCAAGGTGAGGAATGGAGGCGGGCAGAGTATAGTGGAGCATCAGGATGTTAAGAGGACGTTTGCGCGGGCGAGGGAGACACAGGCTGATGCGGCGCCGGCTTCATGACAGTGTCGAGCGAGGGGAGGGGCTGCGGAGAGGGAGGGAGGGGGCAATTGAGATTGTAGACTTGTAGCAAAACTTTTATACATGACCATCATGCGTATAGACAGTAACATTTGGAATCTAGTACCTGTGGAAAATCGAACAGGCAAACCACATGAGATACGCTATATTTGACCATGGGGGACGAGGCATAGTCAGAAGGAAACAGGATAAAATGTATGTAGTGTTCAGTTATTTCAAGTAAATCATTAAAGCATGACCAAGCCACTGAACACAATCCATTCCTTTTTTGAGCTTCTCTATTGCCGGCATTGTACGTGTGTCTCCATCATCCAGCCGTGAAGATATGTGCGAGAAGATGAAAAAAAAGGTACGTGAATTCCTTTGCCTAAAAAGAGTAAAGCCGCTATGCAAAAGCCCTGCCCGCCCGTGTAAGAAACGCAAACGCCGTGAATGCCATTCTGAAACTCCTGATTCCATGGGACAAGACAAAGAAACCTGACAAGAGGAGAGCAAGGAAAGAAGAAACCAGAGGCCCGAGGGCACGGTTGAGAGATACAAGCTGGCGAACAAAAGCGTGTCGCTTTACTCCTTTTTACTAGCGAGGATGCTGTACTGCCCGCCGCAACCCGCCCAGGTGAGCTTCGTCTCACGAACGGCAGTGTTGTCAATCATGGTTGGCACCTCAATATCGTCATCAGTGCCCTGGCCGGTCTGATAGTTGGCCGAGAAGCCCCATGAGTATGCCTTTCCGTCCTTGTCAATGACGATGCTGTGATCAGGACCACATGCACCCGTGACAACGTTCTTGAGGTTGGGAAGAGGCGTGGGTTGAACAACAATCTTGGCCTTGCCATTGTTCTTCAACACCTTGTCCTCGTCTGTCTCAGCATCGAGCTCAGACGGAGGCAGACCGGTCTGCGCGCCGTCGCAGCGACCCCACACAAGTACTTGTCCATCCTTGGTGATGGCAAGGTTATGGTGAGCACCTGCGGCTAGTGACTCCACTGACTTTCCTTCCAGGCTGTGTATGATCTTAGGCTGAAGAACGCTGGCATCCTCTGCACCAGCGTTGCCAGTGTAGCCCGTTTCGCAGTAGTTGTTCGCACCCCATGCCCAGATGTGCCCATCTTCTGCGATCGCGAGACCATGGTAGTCGCCAGATGCGATGGATGCAATTCTTTGACTATGCTTCTTGATCGAGGTATCGTGAAAGCCGATCCTGTTGGGCTGCAGAGCTTGGTGCAAATTGCGCTCAGTCACACGACGACCGAGTTGGTTCTGCTGACCGTTGCCCCAAGCATACACGTGCCGGTCCTTGTCCAGTACATAGACATGGTTGGTACCGCAAACAATCTGTGTAACCTTCTTGACGGTGTCCAGGTAGACAGGACGTGGCGCAGTGTGGTTTCCACGCTCGAAACCAAGAATACCTTCGTTTTTACGGAAAGTACCCCAACCATAGACAGCTCCCTCAGTTGTCAGCGCAAAAGAGCAGCTGTCCCCAGCAGCAACGTCAACAAACGTTGTGTCTTCGGGAAAAAACTCGGCAGGGACAGGCTTCGGTGTGGCCTCCTCGTCATTCAGACCACCAGTCTCGTCTTCTGAATCGGAATCAGAATCGTCTGCGCCGACGTCGCGCATCTTGACGTTGGCATTGGATGTGTCACGTCCAAGTGCACCATTGTCGTTTACGCCCCACGTCAGGATCTTGTTGTCCTTTGTCAGTGCAACAACGTGCATACCGCCAGTAGCAATCCTGACGACGTTCATGTTCGTCAGGGCTTCGTTGTAGCGCGGTCGCTTGACGTCGATGGCCTTTTTCGTTGCCCCGAATCCAAGCTCACCAGAGCCACCCTCACCGAATACGAAAACCTTCAGCGGCTCAGTGTAGCGGATAGCATTGATCTCGGTCTTCTTTCCCTTTGCGCGCCTTGGGCCCTTGGGATTCGGGATGAGGGCGGGATTGACCTTGGCCTTGGGCTCAGCCTGTGGTGTTGGGGCCTTCGACTCGACCTTGGAGGCAGCTTCGGGCGTGGGCTCTGGCGACGCCTCAGGTTCGCCCTCGGGCGCGGTCTCGGGGGCAGCCTCGGGAGCAGGCTTAGGCACAGCCTTGGGAGCAGCCTTTGGCGCAGCCTTCGCACCATTGACCTTGGCCTTCTTTACAGCAGGCGCAGGAGCCTCCTCTGCTTCTTGCTCGCTCTCCTCGTCTTTCTTGCGCTTCGTTGTCTTTTTTGTCGCGACTTTGGGCTCAGCCGCAGGAGTCTCCGTCTTCTTCGCGCGACTGCGTGCAGCAGCTGCAGGATTCTTAGCAAGTGATGGCTTTGATTCGGACGCGTCGCCCTTACGCTTTTGAGCTGGTGCTTCGACCTCTTCGGTCTTTTCATCAGCAGCTTTGTTCTCCTCGGCTACACCATTGGTAGCGGGCGCGTCGTCACTCTTCTTTGCACCTTTTCGTGGAGCTGCGCGTTGGTTCAGTTGGAGCTTGGTTACTCGCGATGGGTGGTGTGACGTACCAGTGCCATTGGCCTTGACTTCTTTGACAGACTTCTTTTCAGCAGGCTTTGCGCTCGTAGCGCGAGATGCAGCAGTCTTTGCCATTATGCGCGACAAAGAAAACCTGATGCGCGTAAAAAAGGTTGTGTTGGAAACTGTGGTGGAAGAGGTTGGTGTTGTCCAGCACGGAAAAATGTTGAACTATTTAGTAGAGTTGGCGCTAGACTTCACATGGATCCACCGACGTGCAGCCACGGCCCGCCAGCTATTCACCGCGCACCTCACCGCCTGATTGGCTGGCCGGCATTCATTGATCGCGTTCACCCTCGAGGCGCGTAGCATCTCGCATTGTTCTGCCTTCATCACCACTGCATCCCCTTCTGGTCGTCCCGTGCGTCCGGTTGCTTACGTCACATCCGTACACCGCTGGTACGTAGATGGTCGTCCAGGTGCAAGCACATTCACTACAGGGGTGAACAGTACAACATCTTCACCTCCCTTATCATGTTTCACCAGTTCCTTGTTCTTGTTGCTGTTCTGAAAGGGGCGTTTTGCGTTCAGCCGGAAGCGCCACCACCGAAAGCGGCTCCCCTGCGTGACCTGCCATGGGCCCAACTCAACTTCTTGCACACCACCGACATTCACGGCTGGTGGGGAGGTCATTTGCAAGAGTACGTGAAATCTTCCCGATATTCCTTCGTGAAGTCATACTTGGCTTGTCAAGAAACAAACACTCCACTGTGTTGCGAGTTCTTGTTTACTTGTAATGGTCCATGGTACAACATGATTCCTAACGTGCATCAGAGCGTCTTACTCATCAGATTGGGGTGATTATGTCTCCTTTGCTAAACACATGCGCGAAAAAGCAGATGCGGATGGATCCGATCTATTGCTCGTCGATACCGGAGACCGAGTAGAAGGTGAATTTAAATGAACTCAATACTTGTGACACAAACACTGACCTCGCCTCTTTACCGTTCTAGGCAATGCAATCTACGACTCCTCGAAACCTCGGGGAAAGTTCACCTATGAGATCGCCAAGGAGCAAAGCATCGACCTTATTTGCTCTGGCAACCATGAGCTTTACAAAGCTAATACCGCTGAAGGGGAATTCTTCCACACTGTTCCCGACTTCAAGGGTAATTACATAGCTTCGAACCTCGATATTTATAATCCAAAGACCGGAAAATTGGAGCCTCTTGCCCAACGGTTCAAGAAATTCACCACCAAAAACCAAGGTATCCGCATCCTGGCCTTTGGCTTTTTGTTTGATTTTACAGGTAATGCCAACAACAGCGTCGTGCAAAGAGTTGAGGACACTGTGAAAGAAGAATGGTTTACAGAGGCTCTGAAAGATCAAGATGTAGATCTTATCCTTGTATTTGGTCATGTTGATGTCCGCTCCACAGAGTATGCGCTGCTATTCTCTACTATCCGTTCTTTGCACTGGGACACCCCCATCCAATTCTTCGGAGGACATACTCATATCCGTGACTACAAAATCTTCGACAGTAAGTCGGTAGCTCTCGAGAGCGGTCGGTACATGGAAACCATCGGATTCATGTCTATTGCCGGACTCAGCACTGGAGGGACAAAAGACGCAGCACCTATGCCTCAAAGCTCAGCGCTCACCTTTTCTCGTCGCTACATTGACAACAACCTATTCTCCATGCATCACCATACCGGGAAGGATGATCAGACTTTCCCGACCGAGCACGGCAAGAAAGTATCAGAAGCCATTGGCGATGCCAGAGAATCTCTCGGCCTCGGGAAGGTATACGGTTGTACACCACAGGATCTATGGATCAGTCGTAGGCCATACCCTCACAATGAGAGCATCTTTACCTGGATCGAGGAACAGCTCTTACCGCAGTCAATCGAGAAATCCGATCGCATCCGCAACGGGGGAAAAGCACTGGTTCTCACAAACACGGGCGCCATTCGCTTCGACATCTTCAAGGGACCCTTCACCAAAGATACCAAATTCCTCGTCTCGCCGTTTACTAGCGCAATCCGATACATCAAAGACGTACCATACAAAGCAGCAAGCCAAGTACTAAAACTCCTCAACAACGAGGGACCGATCCTATTGGAAATGATGGAAAACAGAGCATTCCTTCAACCTCCCGAAGCCTTCGCAGCAAAGTCTAGGCCACACATGCTTCAGGTACCCGAGACCGCTTTTGCGAAACCCGAGCACGGCCAAGCACCTCTCAGCAGCACCAGCGAAGACGAGCCAAAGCCCTTCCCGGGTTATACGACAAAAGATGACGCTGGCACGGATGGCGATGACACAATTCACGAGCCAATTGCCTTCTACAATGTACCAAACTGTATCCAATCAGCCGTTGGATTCGGTCCTGCGAGCAGCAAAGATCAGGAGCCTGAGACTGTGGATCTCATGTATAACCAGTTCATTGAGAAGTGGGTTTTGTTAGCTCTAGAATATCTGGGTGAGAAGCATAGTGTGGATGATACGTTGGAATATGATGATGGGAAGAGCTTTACGGATATCATGACGGAATGGGTGGAGGAGCATTGGGGCAGGGATGGAGGGAAGTGTGATGAGTGATGAAAGACGATTTAGGAAGTGATTTAGATGGGTTTGTACGCAGCAAATCTTGTGGTTTTCGCTACTCTCCCTGCTATGCATGTGTTTGCCTTGTCCGCAATGTTTTTAGAGAA